TCGCCTCTATTCTAAAAACCTAGCAGGAGAAGTATGGGAGTGAGGATTTTGCCACTAGCTATGGAGACTTTATTCTGGTTTTAGCACAGTATTTCGTTCCTTTCTGGACCTGATGTGCTTACCTCTAGGGCCTCCCAGGTTCATACTCCCCAGTGAGCCTCTCATCTCCTGGAGCAGGAGGCAGGGAAGGTGTCTGGGTACCACTGGCTTCTCCTACAGACTTTCAACTTACCCTTTCCACCTTAACGTCTTCTGAGGCCCCAGGACTCCTTATTCCTGAGCCTTTCCTGGTTTTTTTCCTTGAATCATTTTCTCTGCCTATCAAATTTCCTCCATTATACTAAATCAATTATCATTTATATATTACTTTCTAACATTCTGTCTCCCTAAATTTTTTTTTCCTTAAAATTCTTTTATTGGTACATTTTAGGTATACAATATGTTTACATTTATCATTGGGTGCTTGTACCTGAACATAATGAATCTTGGTTCTTATTTTTTCCCCATTACTTGTGAGCCCTTCCCTATTTACATAGACTTCATTTCCATTTTTTTTCTTTTCTCATAATTTGTCCTTTCCCTTCTTTCCTTTCCCCTTCCCCTCCCACCACACCTACCCCTTTGGACATTTTCCTATTTCAAAGTATCAATTATTCATTATTAATCCTTTTAGTCCTTATTTACACTTTCAGTCCCTCAATTTTTTGAAATCTGTTATCTATGGTTATGTCCTATTCCCATCTCCTTCATGGCATATGGGTTTTCTGTTTAGTTTCTATTATCTGAGATTTTTATGCATAGAGTTAAGTTTGAGCTGTTTTTGTTTTGGGGTTGTTTTTTTTTTTTTGGTACCTGGGATTAAACTCAGGACCTTACACTTGCAAGGCAGGTGCAGTGCCACTGAGGTAAATCCCCAGCCCTTGACCTATGTTTTTATCTGCCATATTTAACCAAAAGTCCTTTTCCTTATATTGGATCTTAGATTTTTCCTCCTGACTCTCTTCAGACCTTCCTTCATGCTCATCCTCCACTCTATACCTAGTGTTATAGCATAAGATAGCCTCATTTAGCAAATAAAAATACAAAATACCCAGTTAAATTTTGAACTTCAGACTAACAACTATTACACCGAACATACCTAATCTGAAACATTATTCATTATTTTTCTGAAATTCAAATTTAATTGGTTATCCTACATTTTGGGGGAACTTAGTTCAGGTTGTTATAACACAGAATACATTGGCTGGCGTATAAACAACAACATTTTTCATAGTTCTAGAAGCTGAAAGTGGCTGGTTGTGTCCAGGTGAGAGTCATTTCCCAACTTCTCATTATAACCTCAAATAGTAGAGAGGGCCTGAGAGAGCATCGTGAGGTCCATTTACAAGGGGTACTAACCCAATTCCTGAGGGCTCTACTTCACGACGTAATTATTTTCAAAGATCTCCCTATTTCCTAGTTCTATAAAAATTTCAACATATAAATTTTTTTAGGACACAAACATTCACTCCATACTACAACCCTAGCCAGATAGAAAATTCATACCCTAGCTTGGCCCTTCTTGAACCCAATTCATATGTCCAACCACAGAGCTTGTGCCTCAATAGTCCTTCCCTGTTCTATTGCTGCAAAAAGCGGTACAGTGCTAGGTATTCACCCATGGCTCACGGCCTTCTATACCCCACTAGAACAAGAAGTGTAAAACATCTGCTCTTTACATTTTGCTTCTGTTAAGCTAAAGATTTTGAGCCCTGGAGAACTGCCAGATTGTTTTAACAGAGATAGCATGACCAGATTTGGATTTTAAAACAAATTCATGCTGTGTCATAGAGTCTGACAAGATTGGGGCAAATAAACCTTGGAGTAACTATTGCAGTAATTCAAGCAAGAAGAGAAAGCATCTGGAGCTAAGGAAGAACAGGTGAGAATAAAGAGAAGATGCAAGGAATATTAAAGAGGCAGAAACTACTGGACATGCAAGTTGAACAATATCCATGAAAGGAAGTGAAGTGTTTCTGGCTTGGGCAAATGATGGTGAAAATTTACCAAGAAAAGAGTACAAAAAAAAAATGATCTTGGGGAGAAAATAATCATTGGTTTTCTCCTAAACAGTTATTTACATGGCAGGGTGGAGGATTCTTTTGGGAATCATGAAATGTCTGATGTATTTAACATACTAAAGTCGTCTGCAAACTGTTGCTTCTCCACTGGCTGTGGGTGGGCTCATCGGATGGAGAAAGGCATTCCCTTTCTTTCTTTCTTTCTCTCTCTCTTTCTTTCTTTTTTTTTGGTACTGGGGATCGAACTCGGGTCCTTGCACTTGCGCAGCAGGTGGCGAAACCACTGAGCTAAATCCCCGGCCCAAGACATTTCATTTCTCCCGAGATATTGTGGGGGTACTTGTTGGCAATGGTGAGCTCAGCAACACTAGAAATAAGTTTCATTTTTCTCTAGCCCATGATGACCAACAGAAATGATGGGATGTTCTATGTCCAACCTGAGTTGAACTAATGGATTCTAGACTGAGACCTGACTGGGGCTAACCTTAGAGGGGCTTTTTTTTTAACCATCAATGAGCCTTCCCCTTCGCTTTCTCTCTTAACTTATTGATAACATAATTTGTGTCAAGTTCTCTTACTGCACTAAATCATATTCTTGGAATAATTGTTAGGAATAATTTATCAGCCATAATCAGCACATATCACTTCCTGAGGAGTTAGAAATAAAAACTCTTCTATTTTTTGCTTTTCTACTCACACCAAATCTCATTACTGAACTGAGCAAGGTAGTCAAGAGTTTAACATTAACTTTAATACCAGCTCTTTGCTCCATTAATAGCCAAGCCAATAAAGGCACTTGCTATCTGTTAGGCTAATGAGGCAGGGGAAAATGATGGGAAGGATGGCAGGTGAGGCCGGTTCCCCACTCCCTGAGTTTCTGCGTTGCCCAGGCAACTTATTCTGCAACTATAAATGGCAGAGTTTCCATCTACCCCGTTTTAGCAGACTGCCATTCCCAAAGGACTGGCCTCACTGCTTTGTTTTTCACAAGGAATATGTAGGATGAATTCCGGCTAACCACTTCATAGCAATTCTAGACATGGATTCTTTATCAATTTCTATTGCTGTCAATTCAATTTCTTTCTGAAAATGTTATACATAACTGGAAGCACAATTTTGCATATGAAATTACCAGCACAAAGTAGCAAATGATTATAGTCCCTGGGAAAAGGAAGGCATAGAAGAAAGACATCTTAAAAACTGGGGCTGGAGGAGGCAGCTGAATAATTCTAAAGAGCCCATTAAAAAAATAGGATAAAGGTTTGCAAAACTTGTAGCATTATGAATTCAAAATGCATTACTGTGCCAAGTTTGCCTTATCAAATAAACTATTAAACTCAAATCAAAGGACAAGGAAATAATAGCTAACCAAATAGATATTTTTTTCATAACTTAGGATACAAAACTTCAGTGGAAGCAAAGGGAGACATTAAACCTTACTTATAGGATCCCAGAAGAAATGAACGTTCATGAGCCCATGTGGACTGCTTTTTGCTTTGCTTTTTAATCAGCCACCTTTCATGAGGTAATCATTGAGTATAATCAGTTATATTTACTGTTGGGATACTTTGCCTCCAAATGCATGCCTGTCTGAATACATACCAGCAAGGCCTGAAGCTGGTCCACCAGTTTTCTAGAAGTACTGTTATGCAATGGTTAAGAATCTGGTCACTGAAATAAAAATAATTTGGGAGGAATCATTCATTCTCTAAGCCCCAGTGTACTACTCTGAAAAGTGTGTTGGTGGGGGGTGACTAAAAGAAAAAGCCACAAAGCACCATGCATAGCATCTAGCCTGCTCCAGCTGCTACATTGGTATTATTTTAGGTGACTTGCCTGTAAAGACTGAATTCTTTCCACTTCGGTTCTCCAGCTGGAGACCAACAAACAATGTCCTGCTCCTTAGTTTCTTTGTGAAAACAGCTCCCTAAATCCTTGCCCCTCCTGCTCTGTGTTGCCAGCCAAGTGCAAAGCCTCCTGGTTCAGGGTGGGTGGAGGCTTGTTTGTTTGCTAGACTGCTGTGAGGATTCCCCAGGAGGACTGTGTTAGAGGCTCTAAAGAGTCTCTGCTTAACAGTGACTGCGTACTCCCCTGGCAATTGGGACAGAGAGAAACACCTTGCACAACAATTAGCTTTTCACAGCCATTAACAATTTGCAGTCATTAGCACAACAGACACACAACAAATAACACTCAGGAAGCAAATACCACTGTGATCACAGCAAGGCTCCTGAGCTGCATAGGCCCCAGCAAATCAGGGGTCTGAAATCCTGAGGCTACCAGGTGGCGCCTGTCCACTCCAGCTGACCCACTTTGTAACTGAGAGTGCTTCTCTTCCTTCCCATCCCATCTTTGAAAACAGCTCTGTCAAGCACATTATTTCTTTCAGTAAAATGTAAATCTTTCAGAGGAAAAGTCCAGAAGATACAGTGCATAGTAAAGTAATTCTGAATCTCCTCAAAGACCAAGAAACCTAAAGAAATGAGTGGTTTAAATAATTAAACCTTGGGTTGAGGGAAACACCAGTGTAACACAATGATTTTTACATCCAAACCTGTTCACAACAGCATCACGAAATACTGGAACTCTGATAATAGGATTGGTTGAATAGTTGAACTATACCCATTTAATGAACTAGAAAGCATGCTTTAAAATTATATTTTTGAACTACAAGTAGGTTACATCACAAGGATTATAAAGCACAATTAACATAAGTTTTTTTATTGCAAAGATGATATACACCTGGTAAAATATTAGCAGTGATTGTCTGGGTGCTGGGAATGAGCATGCATCATTTTTAATTTTCATTTGTTTGCTGTTTCATTTTGCTTTCTAAAATAAATGTATATGCATGTATAATTCTTTAAACTAAAGAGAGGGGAAAAAGAGCAGAGAAAGTAAGCCCTGTCTGGCTCAGTGGTTGTGACATAACTGCAAAAGTTTTAAGTAAATACTTTATTGAAGCATGGTATATAGGCATAAATAATAGGTACAATTTGATGACTTTTCACAAAGTACATAAGCCCAGATGCAGAATGAGTCTGAAATATCATGGTTGCCAGGCTTGTGGTCCACAAATATGGTCTGTGTGGGGAACAGTACAGATAGGATCAGTGATGCACACTGATAAATTGGAAGCCCATGGGAATCTGGGAAGGGTGGTAAATCTTCATTTTATAGATGCAGAAACTGAGCCACAGGGAGTCATCATAAGTGAACCCAAAAGCTTAAAGTAGAACCTCTGGGATGCATTCCCAAGACGTCAGGCTCTTGTAACAATGTCTCTGGAGGAAGGACAAATACACATTGTACAACTAGCAGAAGGCCAGGATATCTCTAAATGCATGGTGATGGGAGAATAGGCAAAAATGTGTAAGGGAGGACAGGAAGGCTTGTATGTTAGGAAAGAAATACCAGTTCCCAGCAATTTCTACAAAAGGTAGATGTGATCATTAATTGTGTTACGTCAACTTGGCTTGAGTAAGAAATACCTAGCAGATCAGTAAAGCTCTGGGTATGTCTGAAGATAACTGGTAAGTAGATCAAACTAAAGAGGAAAGGCACACCACAGATATGCATAGCACTAACCAACAGGCTTATAGGCTGCACAGAATAAGAAGGAAAAGAAGGAAGTCTTTCCTTCTCTTCTTTGAGGAGCTCCAGTCTTTGCCATTCCATTTGGATGTTCATCTTTAGTTCCTTGAAGCTTCCAGGGCAGACTCTTCAGCTTTCGAATGTAGACCCTTTGGATTTCTAACAAAGACTCATATTGGACTCTACAGTGAGCTCTTGGCCTTCAGTCTTCAACTGGATCCTCCAGGCCTCCAGTGTAGGCAGCCATTTTTCATTTTTTCACCCTTGATTGCACAGGTGGTGATTGCATATTTTATATTAAATCTGTTCCTCTAGTGAACCCTAACTAAGACAGCAGACCAGTGATAAAATTAATACCTTTAAGTTTGGTGACTTTGTACATTTATGGTTCATGTGGAACCAAGAGGAGGTCTTGAGACTGGTGGACCAGTGATATTCTCCACCAGGGCTCTGGTCTCCTTCAGAAGTCATGGTTGGCTAAGAAGGAGCACGGGGTCCAATATGTACTTTCCTTATTTTTGCTGATTCATAGCTAAGCAAGCCACTACTCTTAATCCTCCTACTCAGAAAAGAAAACCAGTCATCAAACCTGTTCTCCTTTTGAAGTAGCTCTGCCGGGTGACTCATTCAGAGGGCACCCAGGCAAGGGATTCCTCTGGAGAATGTAGGGAAAACGTTAAGGACTGAGTGTGATAGCATAGTCACCTCCCAAAGCGAACTTGGCTAGAAAGGACCAAACTTGGTACATTTTCATGGACTCTGTGTCATGAGGTAATGTCTAGGAATTTTATTTCTTTATTAACTCAGTGGCAGCTCTATGCTTTGCTGAGAGAACTGGATCCAAGACTTGATAATACTTCCATGTGGATCATCACCCCTGCTTTGACCCCATGGGCTTTTCAAGGAAAGGAGATGTGTGGTTGTTCATCTTTCATCCACAGTGAGCAGTGAAGTGTCTGATAGAGAGAAGACATTAAAGGAATTGTTAAGAAATGGACAAAACACATATTCTAAGGTTTTCTAAGGCAGTACTGCTTTAAATATTTCACTGAGTTATGTACACTGATTTGGGTCACTGAAATACTGATCATCAGAGGGTTAGGTATAAATGTGGCTGATGAGAGTTTCTGGAAATTTTCAAGAGAGATTTCTTAGCAATAGCTACTAGACTAGTCATTGTTTATTTACTAACAGATAACTTTGTGTGTTTTTATCATGTATCGTCATTTTTGATAGTTCTTCCTAATCATTCTTTTGTTCCAGTAAAAGTAGAATCAGAAAAAAACAGCAGAAAGGCAATCAAAAATTTTAAAGAACCTGAAATTAGATCCTGACCCTCATATTTCTGCAACTCTCAAAATTATTATCATCTAAACTTTTCATTCATTTATCACAGTCTTACTAAGGGCTGGGCTTATACTTAATGCTAAAAACATAAAAATCATAAAACAGAACCTAAAAGCATGAGAATAGATAAAATAATAAAACTATTTGGATAGTATTTAAGTCATGTAAGATGTGTTTGGTTTTAAGCAACAGAAAAGAAATAGTTACAACAGAAATTTTTCTTCATTTCACAAATCCTGGGAAGTCTGGAAGCAGATATTTCCAAATTGGTTCAGCAGTTCAATGATACCACCAATGCTCTGTCCTCCTACTATTGGATCCTTTGCCCTTTGACTTCCTGCATCATGGTAACAAAAATGTTTGCCATAGCTTTAAGTACAATGTTCTCAAACAATTGTGTTTAGCCAGGGAGGAAGGAAATTGCTGTTTCTCCTACAATAGAAAGCAAGTCTTCTGAGAAGAACGTACCAATAGACTGTCCATGTGGTCATATTGGTTAGAACTGGATTATTACCCTAAACCCAAATTAATCACAGGAAAGGGGGAACGGGGTTTCCATACTTGGTATAAGTCAATTATGCTCATCTTCTCAGGCTTGGGGATGGCTCCATCTCTCCTCAGCAGGTTTCTATGCCTCCCAAAACGGAGATCCTATAATGTAAAGAAGAAAACAAAAAGGAGAGTAGAAATTAACCAACAATGTTTGCCACAGGGTAAACATAGAATTATGTGTGTCAGTGTACCTTATTTCTTCGAAGAAATAGAAACCCCACATCCATTCCTGAAATCCAGTAGCCCAAGGCTGCTAGAAAACCTTGGCCTTTTCTTCACAATGCTCTGGTCTTGACCAATTCAGTGAAGGGAAGGAAAGAAGCTGTCAGATTCAACTCTAGCCCTGTCCTTGAGCTCTAATAACCTTAAACTTTCATGATTCCAACCAACTCTAAAACCCAGGTTGTTTAGGTGAGTGGGAGTTTTGAATGCTGGAGAAGGGTGAAATTCAGGTCAAAAAATGAGATTTGAATGGGTTTTCCTTCTGAAATGTAAGGTTTCTGCGTTTCCTCAGGACTCTGAACTCAAATAGCCTCTCCAGAATGAGAAGGGGGACACATTTAGGTAAGGGCAAGATGGCCTAGCACAGGTGTAATTGAAGGTTGTTTTAGAGGAAACACAAGCAGACTATTGGGTTCTATTTTTAGAATGAATATAAGAGAAACATAAAGGGTAAGGGGATGATTGGAAGAGAAGTCTGTAGAGGATATGACTTTGGTCAACATATCCACATCTACTGGTCTAACAAGGCCACGATCAATACACTACTGCCTATATATAAGACTTCTATATATAATGTAATGCTACACAATGTAATACTGCTATATAATTATATTTATCATACCATGTTGATTGATATGTCATGACACAATATGATGTAATATAATATAATAACAATATAATGATAGCCATAACTAAAAGTGAGCATTCATTGGGTGTTAAAAAGGATGCAAAATATTGTTCTTACCAACTCACTCATAATCATACAGGTAAGCTCTGATCTAATCTAGAAGCTAAGTCCCTGGTGCAAGGTGACTGACAGATGGTGAACCCAGGACTCATGGCTACAGGGCTGTCTGCCTTTCGAAATCCTTTCTTCACCTTTTTGTTTTCTGTTTCTATTTGCCTCTTTTCTACGAGGATGTTAACGAGTTTAGTGGTGAAAAGGCCAAATGGTAACTACAGACAAGAGACTTGAGAGAGCACAAGTGAAAAACAGCTCATTGGGAGAAAGAATTCTACTAGTTATAGAAACGAAAGGAATAACATCAAAACTTTTTTTAGATATTCAAAGTACAAAACAATTTATAGTTTTCTTGTGTTACGGTTTATATGTAGATGTTCCCCCAAAGCCTCATGTGTTCATAGGTGGGGTTTTGGGAGGTGACTGAATCATGAGGATGAGATACTCAACAGCGAATTAGTGCAACAATGAAGTTATAGCTAAATGTGAAGTTGGGAAGTAAAGCCTGGTCTGAGGAGATGGGCCACTGGGGGCGTGGCCTGGAAGGATGTATCTCTCTTCCTCCTCCCTTGATTGTTCTCTGCCTCCTGCCACCATGCCACGAGCTGTTTTTCCTCTGTATGCCTCGCTGCCATGCCCCCTGCCTTGGTACCAGCCGTTTTACAGTCTTGGAGCCAGCCTGAAACCTCTACAAACTATGACCCAAAATATACCTTTCCTCCTTTAAGGTGTGGGTGCTGGGTACTGTGTCACAGTATGACACAATAAGTAACTAAGATACTTTGTTTTATAGATTTCTGAGGAATACAAAAAGGAAAAAGAAATTTATATCAGTAGAAATTATATAAACAAATTATCTTTTTCCATCATAGAATCCTTCCAAATGTTTACATCAGTAACCAAGGTTTTATAATTCCTTTTGTATTTTTTCAGCAGGCATTCTGCAGCCTAGATAGCTGATTAATTTACTTGCTAATTCAAAAACTTGCTTCTTCCTTTCATTCATTCATTTACCTAGTGATTCATCAGATGTTTATGCAGACTCTTCCATGCACTAGGTACCAAGGAGGACAATGGAGACTTAAGAATAAGGAAATACTACCTCCTACCTTAAATGGGGTGGAATTTAATATACTCACAAGGTGATTTCCCCTTCAGATTCACTCTCTGCTCTCCATTACCTGTGAATGGTCCTCTACTATGGACACACATCCTTTAGCCCCCTGGTATGGCACTGCCATAATCTAGGGAGTTGCCTATCATTGGTTGAGGACTAGGAGTGAAGGTTCAAAAGATGCAGGACTAGAGAACAGAGGACCTTAGATATCTTCCCTTTCTGATTGGAGCAACTCTGGTTTAGGGAACCCTGAGAAGATCTGAGACATTGATATCCTATAGGACTTAAAGATATCAAAGCTTCTAGGAACTGATCAACTCAGTTTGGTCTCTTCGGAGATTTCACTCTCACCTATAGAGGAACACTAGGCTAAAAGTACCATAGGTGCCAAGGACAATAATTAATTCTCTGACTCATCCCCAAAGAGTTCATCCTCCAACCCTGCCCCTGAAGCTGGTGCCTGATAGCCTCTCTGCTGCTTCTGGCTTTTTGGCTTAACTCATGGATCCTAATGCAAGCTTCACCTCTCCAACACTTTCCTCTGTATACTGAAGAGCCAGAGATGAGCACCATTCTTGAAAGAGCTCTAGAAGTGTTCACACTTCTATATACCCTGTCCAAGGCTTCTATTACACAAAGCCCCCAAGAACTAGGGATCACACACACACACACACACACACACACACACACACACAAACTGACTCATCCTGATCACTGGTAATGGCCTATGTGAAAATGGCTCCCTGTAATGATGGCAGATTACTAAGTCTGAGGCAGTAGGTTTCTGGAGGAGGTATCCAAGTATGACCATGATGGAAAGGATTATAGAATAGGACCAAAGAGACACCTCACAATTACTTCCACTAAATCCTGGACGTTTATTTCTAATCATTTCTATGTCCAGATTGCCTCCTTTAAAAGAAATAGTTAAAACTAGATGGGGCCTTAACTCCTATCAAGCTTGGACAATCTGACTTTCTGTGTACTGTGTGTATTACCTGCTTTTGCAGTTTGCACTGAGAACTAAATTTACAGATTTGGCAAATCCTAATGTTTGGTTCAGGTTCCATGATAAGCAAGAACCAAACATAAAAACCTGTGTATCTCTGGGTTTCTGGAGTGAGCAGGATGGATAGCATTCCTAGCCCAGTCCCCAAGAAGTTGAAGAAGCAACTTTGTGAAAGGACACTGGTCTCCGTGAGAGCCAGCCTGACCCCTTGGCAGAGGGCCCCTCCAAGGAGGAAGGGGAACCATAGCCCAAAGTGCTGAAGCCTGGGCAGAATGCCCCAGAGCTCCACAATTCCAAATACCTATGAATGAGAGAGGAGAAGAGGCAGTCCCAGTATGCATATTTGGTATGCAAAGTCCTGTTTGATCTTAGAAACTGAGAAGCCTTTGGGATATGGAAATGCTAATACCCAGAGGCTGTGTGGTACACTGGAAAGAGAACTGGCTGTGGAATCAGAAGTTCTGGTTTGAATCTTAGCTCTGTTCTGGCTGGCTTCGTGACTAGGAGCAGGTCTCCTAACCCTGCAGAGTGGGAGTTTTCATGTCTGTCCAATGAGAAGCATGAGCTCTTCCCTAATGACCTCATGGGGCTGGTTTTTCTTGGTTACTTTTCCTGCACACAGTGTACAAAGCCCACAGTGATGCTTTAGTCACAACCTGACAACAGTATTAGGGCAGGATAATGATAAAATTAATATTAATTTTCGTAGCAAATATAAATCACGATTGCTACCAGCCCAGCTGTTTGGTTTTTTTATGTTCCAGGCACTCTGCTAAGGATTTTATGAACATTATTTCATTGCTCAAGGTCACATGGCTGCTAAATCTTACAGTAGGACTGACCTCAGACACCTCTGACTGCAGACCCAAAGTATTGACCCCACCTGTGCTTTAACCCTCATGATCAGCCAGGTTTCTTCAAGCCCTGGCTGGCAGAGAATGAGAGTGAGAGGTACTACTGCCTTGTCTACTTACATGCGAACAATGAAATTGTCAATCAAATCCTTTAAAATAGCCAAACAGCAATTTGAAAAAATAAAATGTGGAGCAGAGATAAATAAACATGGAGACAAAATGATCTTTTTTTCACTGTTTGTTAACCAGCATTGCTTATTGTCTTGTATGCAAATTTTTCTTTTCTTAAGCTTAGACCAAATAGGCATCCACCCCAATCATCCACTAAGGCCAAAAAGAGAAAAATAAAATTACTGAGCGCTTGCTCTGTAGCAAGCACCCATGCTATGCTGAATGAGGTATCTCTGCCCCCAGGAGGCAGAGGACATGGACGGAGAAACAATTTGAGAGTGTGAAAGTCCTTTGATGGGGTTTCAACAGGGTACTAAGGACAGACAGAAAATTAGAAGTTGCTACAGCCTGAGGGTGTCAGAGAGACCTTTCTAGAAGAGGTGACAGCGAAGTGGAGCAGGACTCAAACTATTGGAAGAGAGGGATATGAAAGGTCTAAAAAAGGAGGATGGAAGAAGCAGGGCATGTCAGGAAGTGGGAGTATCTTGTACAATGGCCAAGAGGCAAGAGAAGTGACCCACTTAGAGAGCTTAGAGAAGTTCATGGCCACAGCTAAAGGTACAGAGTCTGAGGACAGGAAGGTGAAAGCCAAAACAGGCCAGGACATGCAGAGCCATGTATGTCCTGCAAGAGTCTGCACTTTAATCATTTTGGAAATTAATTGAAAAAGTTCATGCTGGGGGTCAGCAGAGACCAAGGGCATGGTAGGAGTGGACATAATCCCACGTTTGTGTTGTAAAATATGTAACTAATGAGAACACATCTCCCGTAGTCCCACTAAAAGTTGAAGGTGAGCCAGGTGAGGGTACTGACAACAGGAGTGAAGAGAAATAAAAACACAAGAATGCTTAGCAGGGCAAGGCAACATGACTTACTGAGCGGATATTGGTTTGGGAAGTTGTGGTAAGGGGGTGCTAACCTATTCTGTTCAGGTTCTTTCCAGTCAAGATAGAACAGCTATGTGTCCAAATTTTAAAATCCTTC